CGCTTGCAAAAGGCCGGGCCATCCGAAGAGCGAATGCCCAGAGGAGCTAAGACGCCGCGGAGCAGAGGAGGGTAGGGAGTCTGAGCAGCAGGGAAACGCCAGCAGTGAGTGGAAATTGGGCCAACTACTGAAGAGACAACCTGCTCGCCCGACCTCACCGACCCTCACCGAGTCACAGTACCAATTCACGCTATCGATCGGGGCGGTCACCTACAAAAAGGGGGCATCAAACATCGCTGACGCACTGACCCGCCCCACTGCCTAAATTTACGCCATACTAGTCGCCCAGTACCAGCCCACTACTTACAGGACTATTTACCCACAATTATAAGACAGACCCCTTCTTCACTGGAGGAAATTCGCAGTAGTTCGCAGCAGCAAAAGGGATTTATTACGTAAAAGCCGGCACCGACCGCATTTGGGTACCGGGCTACACTTTACTAAGGGAGTTGTTACTACAGGAGGCACACGACGAGGTTACGTCAGGACATTTCGGAGTAGAGAAAACACGGCAGCAGTTGCAACGGTATTACTACTGGCCCGAAATGTTGGCCGACATGCAACGACACGTGGCATCGTGTCTCACCTGCCAACTCATGAAATTGTCACCGAAGCTGCCGACAAGGCAGTTGCAGCCGATACCACCCCCAGAGCATGATTGGCAGCAGGTGATGATGGACTTCGTTACGGGGTTACCGGCTAGAGCAAGTGGGAACGATGCGATCCTGGTCGTCGTCGATCGGCTGACAAAAAAGGCACACTTCGCAGCCTGCAAGAAATCAATCACGGCCGAAGAAACAGCCTGCCTCTTCATCTCCACCGTTGTTCGACTGCATGGGACACCGGCATCGACCATCAGCGACCGCGACACGAAATTCACCAGCAACTTCTAGCGGAACCTGTGGCAGCAGTTCGGCGCGCGACTACAGTTCAGTTCATCGTACCACCCCGAAATCGACAGACAGACAGGACGGACAAATCAGACCATGAACCAGCTCATCCGAGCCACATGCGACGACCCGTCCACGTGAGAACAGCAACTGCCACTCATCGAGTTCGCATACAACAACTCGCCGTCCGCCACAACCCAACAGTCACCATTTTACTTGAACTACGGACAAGACCCGACAGTACCCATGACCTCGAATGCCGACAATCCAGTACCACGCGAACAACAGTTCGCAGAAAAATTACAAGCAGCACGGACCCAAGCAGCTGAAGCAATAAAAAAGTCAAACATCATCGGAACGCAACGCCGACCGCCACCGCCGCCCCGTCACTTAACACACGACGACCTCGTTTCACTCGACACCTAGAACCTCCGCCTGCCCATTACCCCAAAACTCCACCCCGGATATTATGGGCCATTTTGCATCAGCCACATGATCACCCCCGTCACCACCCACCTCCTCCTCCCTGGTGACTAGTACGTCAGCCCGTCATTCCACGTTAGCCTCCTCCGCCCATACGTCCCATCCACCAGCCAACTATCTTGCAACCGCCCAAACAGCGTGACACGACTGCCAACAGAGCCAATCATCACGCTCGAAAAAAGTATTGAGCCACCGAGTTCGTGACCCACGTGGAGCCCGCAGAATCGAATTCCTGATCCGCTGGAAAGACCACACGCCCACCAAAGACAACTAGGTTCCTCTGGACAGAATCCAAAACCACCCTGTCCTCACAGAGTACCTGCGTAGCCGAAACTTCCAGGATGTACACGCGCTTTCGTAAGACGGACCTCCATAAGAGGGGGGGGGGGGAAGGGGGAGGGTAGTGTAAGGAAAATACATTTTTATTACTTCGCGTCCCTGCTCAGCGTGTACACCACTGTTCTCGCCAACAGCACCCAACAGTAAACCGTTACCACTCGCGACACTCGCCTCGACTACTGGTCCCGCCACCGTTCACGACGTAACCCAACCTCACGGTTCGGTTGGTAACCCGCGCTCTGGACCTCCGCCTTCGCCTCGACAATTCCCAACATCGGCACTAAGCCCGTCGCACACCCCATTTTCGTGCATTATCGTTACCACTGTAGCTTTGCTATATATTCTTCGCTCATGCCTTCGCCCAATGTATTGTTTTGCTTCGATAGTGCAATTCTCGTTCGCTCGCTCAATTGCACTTGTAACACAACATCAAGGGATTTTCTTAGGGAGCTTTACTTTTGTTTATACCTTTGGGGTATACCTTTCCTTCTTCTTATTACTTCGTTATTGTTGTCCATCAGGTGGGACTGGACGATCATACCCCAGTCTTTGTCCCATACAGTGCCTATCCGTCAGCTGCAACTGCGATTCTTCTTACACATTTACGAGTAAATTGGTGTACATAAAAATCCACGCTATTTCCTTGAGACGTGTCGTATCATAATGCCAGAGCTACAGGCACCCAGTAGGTTGTGGCTGTATTTCTGACAAGACTTATAAATATCGTGTGCCTTGTTAGTGCAGATACCAGTAGAAGCTTTTGTTGTTTGTCTTTCTCTGGCTAGTTGCAGTCAGCAGCAAATCACTTCATGCTTGCAATGGTGGTTACACGTATGACCCTGGTGTTAGATGGTGTGAGATGCACCATCATCCGATGCTCATCAAATCCGTTTGGTGTGACAGCTCAGCATGCATGGGTGCTGAGTCTGCAACTAAATGGGAGGGAGAGGAAGGAGAAGCAGCCGGGCCAGGAAACAGGAGGAATGGCCGCCGGATGTCACCTTCTCCAATCTTGGCAGCAGATGGGCTAGGTACGGCCAGAGCAGACGAGGAGGCTCGGGAGCTAGCAGGGTGCCTTAGCCAGGGTAGGTTTGGAAGCAAAGAGGTGAGAAGCAACGATGAGGTGGATGGGTGGAATTGTGTGCGAGGGGAGGAGGAACGAGAGGACGGAGAGGAGGTCTCTAATTTTGAGGAAATGGGGGAGGAGGATGAGGAGAGTTGGCCCAGTGAAGGAGGTGTGGAAACAGAGGGATGCGCGGCAATGTTGGTCCCAGCAGTGCTGCTGCTGCTGGTGTGAGGAGGGGAGGTGGAGGGTGCGTGTGCGTCACCCTTGCAGATGGGGCAGAGGGGTTGCTTCGTGGACAACCACTCGTCCACACACTCTGCATGGAACTCTGGGGGACAGAGGGGAGCAAGGGTAAAGAAAGGAGGGACGAGAAGGGGTGGGAGAGTTGACTCAGAAGCCACTCGTCCACACACTTCGCATGGAACTTTGGGGTACAGAGGTGGGAAGGGGGGGATGGAATGGAGGGGGGTGAGTTGTCTCAAAAGCCACTCGTCACTCAGCCACACACTCTGCATGGAACTAACAAGGGAGTCGAAAGGAAAAGGGGAAGAAGGGAAGGAGGGGAACGAGTGGACTCTAAAGTCTTTCAATCTGCGGAAGCTGCTTGGTGGTCAACCACTCGTCCACACACTCCGCATGGAACTCTGAGAGACAAGCGCACCATGTCTACAGGGTAGCACCATGTCCGCAGGGTAGCACCATTTGAGACAGGGTCCGCAGGGTCGCCCGATTGGTCCAGGCAGATCGTACGCGTCTCTAGTGCCTTGCGTAACCCTATTTTTTAGTCAATGGGTTGGGAAAGGGAAAGCTCACCATGACCGCAGGGCAGCACTCTCAGACGGTCCCCAGTTTGATAGTCATCCAAGCAGGTCACACACATCTTTAGTGCCCTGGTCCACCCTCTCCTCCTTCTCCTCCCCTCCTCCTTTCCTTCCATTCCACTAAAGTCTCCCTTGCTCCGGCCCCCCATCTAGATTTTCCCCCTAATGCACCCACATGCATCCGCGTCCATTCCCTTTTCCCCTCTACAGGCCTTTTCGAGAGGTCCATTATCCCCCCTACAAGCTTACGCGAGATGTTCCATAAAAGGCAGGTACGTTATTCCCGGAAGCGCTTCTAGCTTAGGAGTTGATAAGACAGTGCGCTAATCTGGCGGTGGTGGCGGAAGCAGCAGTGCCCGTATCACCACCAACCCCTCCTCCCCCATCCTCCGACGACTTGTGCTTCCGCCCCAGCACCCCCTTATGTGCCGCCCCTTCGCGCATCCTCGTGCGCATAATGATGAGAAGCGTGAGCAGCGCTAAGAGCGCCGCAGCGAGCAGCGGGGGGAGCGAGCTAGAGAGGGTGGGGAGGAGGATGAGAGCGAGTGCAAAGGTACCATTTGGGTGTCAAACACTTCAGTATCCTGACTCAACGCACTTCCTCGCCCCCCTCAATCACTACAGAAATAGGTCCATCGGAGTAGGAGTGGGAGGAGCAAGTGGGCCACAATGATATACATTGAATGTACATTCACTCATACGGCAACAACAAAAGCACCGAATGTACATTCACTCGTAAGACAACAGCAAAAGCATTAAGTGTACAAGTGAGTGTACTGAATGCACATGTGAAAGCCCTCAATGTACGATTGAATGTACATCCAATGCCTTTGTTGTTGAATGGCCACACAAGCGTTATTGCCTCACAACACTTGCTGATTCCCATATTGAAGCCTTGCTTAACTGCCATCACTTCTGGAGTCGTTCGTGCAGACGGGCAACAGCTTACCAAGTGTACTATATCCGCACCATGTTCCCAGCCATTCCTTCATCTTCCCACATCCGTTACCCCACCGTCACTGCAAGGATCAAACTACCAGTGGCAGACAAGCACATGCAAACAACAACACATTCTACGGACTAAGCCACAACAACCAGAGCATGTCTCGAAATGCTCTCTCCTTGCCCCTCATATGTTTTCTCCCATCATTTCTAGGGTTGCACCAAGCACAGGCAAACATCTACATCCGTAGTATATCCACTCTCAAAGCACTCTGTCCCATATCCGGTTTTCTCCCATGAGTGGTCGGACTACCAGTGACAGGCACAGGCGGGCAACAACACATTCTACAAACTAAGCCGCAACAAGAGCATGGCTTGAAAAGCGCTGTCTCTCAAGCAGACCTGTATTGATGTCTATATAGGTACAGGCAAAGCACCAGGAACTTCCTAGCAAGCACGTTAGCCTGGGCATGCAATTTCAAAGTGCTCGTGCTCTCTCTCTCTCTCTCTCTCTCTCTCTCTCTCTCTCTCTCTCTCTCTCTCTCTCTCTCTCCTCTCTCTCTCTCTCTCTCTCTTTCTCTCTCTCTCTCTATCTCTCTCTCTCTCTCTCCTCTCTCTCTCTCTCTCTCTCTCTCTCTCTCTCTCTCTCTCTCTCTCTCTCTCTCTCTCTCTCTCTCTCTCTCTCTCTCTCTCCTTGGCCAGCATCACTGCAAGGATCTGACTACTAGTGGCAGGCACAGGCAGGCAGCAATACCTTCTACGGGGTAAACACCATAAAGAGCGTCATATCGGCCTTCTGGCTTGGTCACCAGCGGTGCTCCGGGCTAGGCACTGAGGGCTGCTACAACATCGATAGATGGTGAGTTGTTGTTGCGAGCTTACTTTTGAGAATTCTTAAGGCATCTGTTGTGCAGCATGGCAACATCTCTTCCCCCACTACTCTATCTCCTTGACAAATCATGCCATCCCGCATCGCTCCATCTTATGCCACTCCCACATTGTTCCAGACCATGTCACCCCTCATTGCTCCAATTGATGCCACCCTGCGTTGCTCCAATCAATGTCATGTGGCAACAGCACATTTGGCGAGCACATGAGTGGTGCGGTATGGTTCCAATCAGGTATGGGAGTATTAATGCATGAGTTAGTGTTAGATATGGTCAAAAATGGTATTGGTTGGTAGGACTCGTGTCCATGACCTATGTGCAACACGTGTTTGATAAGTTATGATGAGATGGATAAGGTATGAGATGGATAAGGTACCTAAATTGGATAAGGTATTTGAGCTGAGAAATGTGTTCAAGTTGGAAAGGGTATACAAGTTTGGACAAGGTATTTGAGCTGGATAAGGTATTTGAGTTGGATAAGGTATATGAGTTGGAAAAGGTATTTGAGTTGGATAAGGAATTCCATTTGGACAAGGTATTTGAGTTGGATAAGGTATTTGACTTGGATAGGGTATTTGAGTAGGATAAGGTGTATGACTTGGGGGACATTTGAATAAACTCAAGAAGCACCTTGATTTATGTCCACAGGTCGACTCTGCACCTTGCATGTTCCTTCATCTATCAGTTGTCCATGCTCATTGCCCTTTCGACCTCATTGCCCGTGCCAATCCTCACCAGGTGACCTTGGCAGGTGGCTTCCTGCACATCTGGAATAGCAAGGAGGCAACCTCAAGTGTTCTTTTGAGCCTTGAGCCTCCTCCACACCTATCCATCCGTGCACCTCGTTGCTCGTGTTGATCCTCACCAAGTGGCCCTGGAAGCTGACTTTCTGCACAACGGCAACGGCAATCTACAGCCCGCTTCATATTCTCCCTTCCCCCTCCTCTTCCTCTGTAGTGCCCTCTGGTGGCCCTAGCAGTTGACTTCCTGCACATGTGGAACAACAAGAAGTCGGCCACGAGTATGGGATACAGCTATACCCTGCACCAGGTGTGTGGTGTCAGAATGAACAATTGTGTATGCACTAGAAAAGTGGTGGGTACAAGTAGGAAACCCTAAACTTACTGTACCCCATAGTTACTACCCCACTACAGCCTAAACAAACCGTAGAGTATAAATTTGACACACCCCCATAGGCAAAGTGGGGGAGAGCAAAAAGGGGGGTCACAAGACCAGTCAAGAGAAGCAAAGCAAGCTCAGGGTGGATCACAACGTCACCACACATTCTGAGCACAAGCAGACGGCCATAAGGCCCGTTCACATGCACAGTTATATAGCATAGAACAAACAGGACAGTGATAAAAAACTAGAACAAACAGGACAGTGATAAAAAACTAGCAAGTGAAAGCATGCAGGTATAGATATATAGATCACAGTACAAGCAGAGTCAAGAAGTGAGCAGGTGAGGCAAGGTAGGCACAAGGCCTAGAACAGTACAAAAACGCTGATGATCACAAGGCGGAAGTGCCTTGGTGAAGATATCAGTAGTGTTGGCCCGAGAGGCCACGTAAGCAAGACGAAGCTGACCGCGCTGCTGCAGCTTTCGGGCAAGAAAGTAGCGAAGGGCAATGTGCTTCGTTCTGTGCTCCAGTCTGTGCTCCTAACACAAGGCCAGCATGGCCTTGTTGTAGACGTACAGAACTGGAGGAGAACGAGGCACCTTCTCCCAAGTCGGTCAGCAGGTAGGTGAGCCAGCGTAACTCCTTGTGCAGCCATGGCCCCTGCGTAGATCTCAGCCTCACAGCTGGAGCTGAGAACAGAAGACGAGCGGGTAGACCGCCACGAAACAGAACCGGAGCCAAGGCTGAAGGTGTAACCCTGTGACGACTGCTTTGTAGCCAAGTCGTCAACCCAAGAAGCGTCTGCGTGACCAGTGAGGACAACTCGAGCCCGTCCTCCAAGCACTAGCCCCATGCCCGACGTACTGCACAGGTAGCGCAACACCCTCTTCGCTGCACCCATGTGCTCTGGTCGGTGTCTCCCAGGAGCAACATGGCGTGCCAAGATGCTAAGAGGGTATGCCAAGTCAGGTCGAGTGCAGGTCATCAGGTACATGAGGCAGCCAACAAGCTCTAAGTACGGGCCACTCGGCTCTACGGACTCATCCGAAGGCAGAGCTGAGAGCGAGTGGCTAGTAGATAGAGGAGTGGCCTGAGGCGAGGAGTACGTGAAGTTGAAGCGCTGAAGGACCTGCTGCACCATGTGTGACTGAGTCAAGGTAGGTGCCCCGTGCTCTGTCCCGCGTGATCTGCAAGCCAAGATAGCTGCGTAGTTCACCCAGGTCTGTGCACGTGTGTCTCTTCTGCAGCTCCGACTTTACGTGGGCGAGTCCCTCAGTGTCAGCGGTGGCAAAGACCAAGTCGTCGACGTACACGAGGATGTAGAACGGCGGCAACGAAGTGTCGGTGCGCAGAAACAGCGACGGGTCAGCAGTAGAAGGAGCAAACCCAAGAGCCGCAAGCGTAGTCCTCAGTGTGTCGTGCCACTCACGGGGCGCCTGGCGGAGACCGTAGACTGGCCGCCGAAGGCTCCACTGGGTACCAGGAGGAAACGACCCAGTGAAGCCAGGTGGGCGGCGCAGCCAGATCTCCTCGTGCAGGCTGCCCTGTAGGAAAGCAGTGCTGAAGTCAAGAGAGTGAAGCTCGTAGTCACGCTGAGCAGCGACATGCAGCAGAACCCGAAGAGTGGTCATCTTCGGGGTCGGGAAGAAGGTCTGGAAGAAGTCAACTCCCTGTTGCTGACTGAAGCCTCGAGCAACGTAACGCGCCTTGAAGACAGGCGGAGAACCCGGCGGCCGCTTCACCCTGAAAATCCACATGCCACTGACGATGTTCGCCTCAAGGAGGGGGAACCTCGTCAACGTAGGTGCCTGTGGACTTCCAGGATGCCATCTCTGCGTCCATGGCTGACTGCCACTGAGAGGAGTAGGGACCCTCTATCGCCTCTGCGTAAGAGCGCGGGGTCGGGATGTCTGGTGCATCCGGATCTCCCTCAGATGCAATCAGCATGGACACGAGATGAGGTACAGCGGCTGCAAAGCACTCAAAGTCCTCATGCCTTTCCTCAAGGACGTCCGTGCCAAGAGCACACTCACCCCCAACGGACGGAGGACAGACAGACTCAGACTCAGCAACAAGACTAGCGGCGTAGTCTAGACGACAGTGAGCAGCAAAGTCGACAAGCTCAGCAACCTAAGGCAGACGCAGCAGTGGACTCAAAGGAAGGGTCAGTGACAACAGTGGCCAGGAGACGCGTGACAGTAGGACTAGCAGCACGAAGGGAGTCAGACTCCGGGTCAGCAAGGGCAGGAAGAGAGGACGCAGGAGGAGACGGCAGAGGGACACACTGTGGAGCAGTGGAAGGACGAAGCGCCATCTGGTGCGTGCCTGGGACAGCAGGAGGACGCTGACGCGGAACACAACGACCAGTGCGAGCAGCACGAACAGGCGACGCAGGACGAGACTCAGGCTCACGACGCTCAGTAAGACCTCCGGTCTGACCAGTGTAAGGAGAAGGAGCAGGCAGCGGGGACGTAGGCTGTAACAGTGACTGCAACTGGACAGGCGGTGGACACTCTAAGGAAGGGGCAGGATCAGTAGAAGGCGGGAGACCAAGAACCTGCTGAAGGAGCGGAACGAAGTACGGCTGCGGTCGCGCAGCGCCCCCAGAACCAGCAGAGACAGCACCAGCACCCCCAGCGGCGGCTCCAACTCCTACAGCACCTCCAGCAGCTCCAGCAGCGCCAACTCCTGTACCCCCAGGAGCACCCGCACCAGCAGCACCTGTCAGCTCCAGCACCTCTAGTAGGACGAGCGCCAGCGCCTCCAGCTCCAGCCCCTGCAGTACCACTAGCTCCAGCACCTCCAGCAGCTCCAGCAGCACCTCCAGTCCCAACAGCTCCAGTACCACCAGTACGAGCACCTCCAGGACCAGCGAACTACCCCACTACAGCTTAAACAGACTGTAGAGTATAAGTTTGACATGTGGCGGTAACCAGAAGTGGGTGTTCAGGGAGCTGTGTGTGGTTGTAATGACTGGTGAGTGTACAGCATGGAGGCAGCCTCCGTCAAAACAATATTTGTGGCGGTTATAGGCTGTAGTGGGTGACGCTCTAAATACAGCCCAATTAGGGTTAGGTACTTGTACTCATTTTCTCATCGATGCATCCACTCCTGTTCTCTAGTTTCTGACAGCCTCAAGTGTTCTTTTGAGTCTACCCAACAGTCACCTTCTTCCATACCTATCCATATATCCCCATTGCACCTCATTGCCCGTGCTGATCCTCACCAGGTGGCCCTAGCAGCCGACTTTCTGCACAAGAGCAACAGCGATCACTGCCCCCTTCATGTTCTCCTCCCCCCCCTCCCCTACCTCCGTGTGCCCTCTGGTGGCCCTAGCAGCTGACTTTTGCGCAACTGGAACAACAAGGAGTCGACCACGAGTGTGGGATACGACTATATCATGCGCCAGGTCTGTGTATGTGTATGTGTGTGTCGCGGTAACCAAACGTAACTATACAGATAGCCGTGTGTGTGGTTGTAATAAGTGGTGAGTGTACAGCAAGGTGCGTACTTACTATCTTTGCAACATGGGTGGTGTGGTGTGTGTACCCATTAGGAACGGCGAATGAGAATGTACTGGGAGGTGCGTAGCAATTACATTGTGCAGCAGGTGTTTGTGTGGCTTTGGCAAGAGGTTATTGTAATGAGTGGCAGTCTCTGTCACCAAGGTGATAAGAACAAGGTAGTTGGGATAAGTCCACCATAATGTAAATGACTTCATTGAAGGCAGTTCGGTTTTCCCCATCCGCTCCCTTCGTGTTTCCACGAAACAGTGCCACCTGGACACGAGAGGCTATGTTACCATCTTGTATGAAGCATCCAACCACCTCCCTTGCGTTTCCACCAACTAGTGTCGCCTGAGGGGGCGACTGGACATCAATAGGTGTGTGGCGGCCTATCTGAAAGCGA